TACCTGTGCCGATCAAGAAAGGCTTCTTTGTCGACGTGGCGCGTCCAGACTGCCCCGATCTGCCGACAAACAGCTGATCGGCAGAGCGGGGCAGCCATTTAAATTTAAATGAAGCCGTGATTATTTTAATCGCGGCTTCATTTCCCTCTGCTGATCTGTCTAATCTACATGCCTCCGTCGACGGAGGCATGTAGTTTAGACGTACCCCTAATGGAAACACTGACATAACATACATACTAATCTGGAGGATAGGGTCATAATTCAAAATGACCTGGACAAATTGGAGAAATGGTCTGAGGTAAATAGGATGAAGTTTAATAAAAACAAATGCCACTTAGGAAGGAACAATCAGTTTCATACATACAGAATGGGAAGCGACTGTCTGGGAAGGAGTATGGCAGAAAGGGATCTAGGGGTTATAGTGGACCACAAGCTGAATGCGAGTCAGCAGTGTGATGCTGTCGCAAAGAAAGCAAACATGATTCTGGGATGCATTAACAGGTGTATTGTGAGCAAGACACAAGAAGTCATTCTTCCGCTCTACTCTGTGCTGGTTAGGTCTCAGTTGGAGTATTGTGTCCAGTTCTGGGCACCGCATTTCGAGAAAGGTATGGAGAAATTGGAGAAAGTCCAGAGAAGAGCAACGAGAATGATTAAAGGTCAAGAGAATATGACCTATGAAGGAAAGCTGAAAGAATTTGGTTTGTTTAGTTTAGAAAAGAGAAGATTGAGGGGGGACATGATAGCAGTTTTCAGATATCTAAAAGGGTGTCATAAGGAGGAGGGAGAAAACTTGTTCATCTTGGCCTCCGGGGATAGAACAAGAAGCAATGGGCTTAAACTGCAGCAAGGGAGGTTTAGGTTGGACATTAGGAAAAACTTCCTAACTGTCAGGGTAGTCAACCACTGGAATAAATTGCCTAGGGAGGTTGTGGAATCCCCATCTCTGGAGATATTTAAGAGTAGGTTAGTTAAATGTCTATCAGAGATGGTCTAGACAGTATTTGGTCCTGCCATGAGGGCAGGGAACTGGACTCGACCTCTCATGTCCCTTCCAGTATTCTATGATTCTATGTCTGCATCTGAGGACACTAGTCTATTTTTTGTGTATGAGAAGGCTCATATACCCGAATTAGCCTTGCCTGTATACAGGATTAAATACCATCAACTTCTCAACTTCATCTTTCAGTGATGTTTTTTCTTGGCTACAGAATTGGATATTATTATTGTATATAACACATATTTTTATCTATTTCAGATAAACTTTATATGGGACCAGGACAACTGTACCATGATTTGCAGAACCTTTTACATGATTTGAATGTAGTCAGTCAAATAAGTCAACTTATAGGCAGTCTTAAAGGAAACTATCAGGTAACCAAAGCCTGATTTATTTTCAAAAAATATGTCCTGTCATAGAACTGTAGAATCAATCCGTCCTTCCTGAGAGCTCTATACAGCATTCTTTACTTCTCCTTGAGGACCATATAATATTTTTAATTTCACTAATTAATTTACTGTTAAATCTTTAGAGTTATAAATAGATTACAGCTGACTTTCTAATCATGTTTTTCTTTGTAGTTTTTATGAGTGGGTGGTAAAAAAAAGTATGTGCATTTGCCCAATTGGTGCTAAACTAATCTGGATACTAAATTACATCTCAATTCCTAAGAAAAATGCTTTTCTAGGATTAGGCTATGTAGTTGTGGGAAGATTATTTTACACTGCTGCTTTAGCTAAGGACAGTAACACCCACCCCTAACCCCTAGTCTCAGATTTTTTTGTGATGATGCAATAGTTAAAATTGGGTGAATACTGTAAAATTATTCATGAGCATTCATTTGTATTTTTACATTAATTTGCTTAAGATGTGTACTACATTTGTGTTCTTTCCACCATATATTCCAGCAAATAGTTTTATTATTGCTAACCCTTAATATTAAAAATTATGAGTCAGGCCTCCAAAATATGGAGGTTGATTTAAAAAGTATTAAATTTTACACACAGGATTTTTTAAATTCAGCCTCTGGTTTTTGAGCTTTAATAATGTATTAGGGACACTTTTACTGGCTTTTATCTGCAACTATGGAGGCTAGAAACTCATTATTTTAGTAAATGAAAAATGAGATTCTCACATAATCCCTTGTCTCCAGAATTGCAGCATTAAATAAAATATAAAATATTTCAGGACTTGTGATAAAATTGTTGGCAACCTTGCAAATGTACTATTAGGAATTTTCATGGAAACAATTATTTTTAAGTGAATATTGCAAAATACTTATAGAAAGTTAATTTCATGTGCACTGTTGTGAATATTCAGACAGTAAACTAGTTGGGAGCATACAATGCCATGCCACCTATGTATTCAATCAAAGGAGCACCAGTTGTCAGTATTGAATACTTAAGCAATACATGCAGGTAGTAAAGGAGAACTGTTCATATTTATTTGACGAATAATCTCTCTTTGTGATAGAAACTGATTTATATACATTTCTTGGCTATTTGAAATTAACCTCCTTCAGTGTATGGACTTATCACTCTCATGATTGCTTTGAGGGTATCAGATCTAACCCTGCAAAGTGACTGATCACCTAACTCAAAAAGTTGTTGTCTCTGCTACCTAATTTGACAACTCCAAACCGCACAAAGAACTCTCAAGATGGTTAAACAAATATCTCTGATATGAATATTTGAGCAAATGTGGTATTTATACAAGGATTGAACTCTTTCTTTTCCTACCAAAAGTTTACCAAACAAAACTTGGCTCATATAAATATCCACTGAAAGGTAATAAAAGGGTACTGAATACAGCTAAAGCAAAGTCATACTTTATATTCCATCAGATGTTTGTGAATGTGCTCTGCTATATTCACCCAACTGTCCATGCAGCACACCCTTTGAAAGTTGGATAAAACATGTTGAAGTAAACATTTGTCAAATCCTTTTGAATGGCATTAACAAATCTGTGTAAATTATTTATACAGAGAAAAAAAGGTTAATGTGTCATGAATAATTTGTTGTAGTGTATATTTCATCCATGTCCAGTGGCAGACTTAGCTTGAGGAATAATGTTTGTGTTGTTCATGGACACTTTTTTTCTTTTAATCTTGCAGAACTTAAACCAATCAGTGGCCCATGACTGGACATCAGGTTTACAAAAACTTATACTGAAAAAAGAAGATGAAATCAGAGCAGCAGATCGCTGCAGAATTCAACTACAGCTTCCAGGGAAGCAGGACAAGTCAGTAGAAATTTTAAATCTAAAACATTATAAGTACATATAAGCACGAGAAAGGAATAAGAGTTAATTGTGTTCCTTAGCATTCCCTAGCCCTGTGTCCTATACTTATTAGAACAAGAAGCTTCATTTCATGTTAGAGACGGAAAAGTGATTATTATTTTTTTAATGTCTCACAGGTCTGGGCGGCCAACTTTCTTTACTGCAGTATTCAATACATTTACTCCTGCTATCAAACAATCTTGGATCAGCAATTTACAAATGGCTAAGCTTGCTCTTGGTAAGACATAGTTGCCTTAAGCTAAAAGAAGCACTGTATCAAGTTGAGAGAATATTAACACTTTCTCTAAATAGTATTTAGTTTCCAATATAATGTGTGTTTATTTATGGAAAGACTTACTGTAAAAGTTGGGTATCAAGATACAGCATATATTAATAAGCATGTAACACTAAAGATTAAAGATGCTTTAAAAGAGAGCAAGGGATTTTCATAACTTAGGACTGTAATTAGCACAGTATGCTAATAGAGTTTGAAATAATTTTTGCCAACTTGAGATGCTAACCAGTCTGTGGCATAGTGAGTAACAACGCAACCATGTGCCAGAAAGATTGGAAGAGCTATTGCAATCTAAAACTGTGTTTCCAAACCAGTTCACAAGACTTTTTCAAACCCATTCCTTTCAAAGTGGAATTTCTCATTTTTAGTTTTATCCTAAGACTAAATTGTGTTTGGGAAGTTTCAACGAAATCAATGGAGCAGTTTTATCTGTCTGAACATAAAGAAAACACTCATACAAATGTAGGGATGGAAGGCACCTTGCCATGTCATCTAATTCATTCCCGCTATGCTGACACAAGGATTAAATATGAATGTATCCTTCAGGAAGGATTTGCAGGGGAAGCCTCCAGGAAGTTTCCTGGAGAAAGGAAAATGGCAGCGCACATGGAACCATTTTTGTTTCCACTTGTTTCCCACATGACGGGAGAAGAAAAAGGGCAGTGCACGGAGCCACTTTTCACTCCTCTTGTTCCCTGCATGCTGGAGATGGGGGAGAGACTTGAGGCTTTCTCCCCCTGGCTCTCCTCCTCCTCAAGGAGCCGGCACTGGTGTTCCAATCTTCTTGGGTTCCATAAGGCTATAGCACAGCTCTGGCTCCCTGATGTGGGGAGAACTGCGGGGATTGAGCTGGGATCCCTGAAGAGCCATATCTGGCTCCCTATTTGGTTCGCAAGCCAGTTTGCCAATCCCTGATATAAAGTAATACCTCCTTTCCTTTTTCTCTACCTGTCCTTCCTAAGCAAGCTGTACCCTCCTATACCAATATTCCAGTCATGTGTATTATCTTACCAAGTCTCTGTGATATCAACTGTGTCATACCTATAATAGCATTTCAAGTTCTTCCTGCTTATTTCCTACACTTCTTGTATTTGTATACAGACAGCTAAGATACTGATTGATTTTGCCCCCCAGTTCTGCCTTGTCTCTTCTTTATCCTTGCTATTATAATCCATGCCCTCCCCAATTTCTGATCTGTCTTCCAGATCTCCATGTTTTTCACTTACATGTTGGCTTGGGCACCTGCCCCCATGGACCCTAGTTCAAAGTCCTCTTCATTAGGTTTCGGAATACTCTCTTCCCTTTCCTCAATAAGTGGATCCTATCTCTTCTTACTAGTCTTTCTTCCTGGGATCAGCATTCCCTGGTCAAGGAAGCCGAAGCCCTCGTGATACCATCTTTGCAGCCAGGCATTCACCTCCATGAATTTATGTAATTCTTTTTTGAACCCTATTAAAATTCTGGTTTTCACAATGTCCTCTGGCAAGGAGTTCTACAGGTTGACTGTGTGTTGTGTGAAGAAATACTTCTGATTGTTTGTTTGTTTGTTTGTTTGTTTTAAACCTGCTACCCATTAATTTCATTTGGTGACCCCTAGTTCTTGGGTTATGGGAATAAGTAAATAACTTTTACTTTTTTCATTTTTGTCCATGCCAGTCATGAATGTATAGACCTCTATCGTATCCCCCTTTGTCTCCTCTTTTCTAAGATTAAAAACCCACATTTTATTAATCTTTCCTCATGTGGAAGCCATTCCAAACCCGTAATCATTTTTGTTGCCCTTTTCTGAACTTTTTCCAATGCCGAGATATCTTTTTTGAGACGAGATATGCATGTGGACAACTCAAAAAATAAATGTGTTTTTAAACATCAAACTTGAAGCGTATCTAATTCTCAATGAAGGTGAATGCCTTTGACATTCCTGAAATAATTAGATTCCAATGTGTCCTTTTATAAACAATTTAAAAGGATATATTGGCATGTAATCTGTCGCATTTTTGTAACTGTTTTCCATACACTGGAATACATTTTCAAAGATGACTAATGATTCTAGATGCCTGAATCAAGGCACCTTTGGACAGCCTGATTTTCAGAAGGCATGTGCTCAACTGCCCCTGAACATAAAGACCTTTTAATGTACTTTTGATGGTTAATATCAATGTTTATTTTTAAGCATTTTTTTTTCAGTTTAAATTTTCACAATTGTATATAATTATTTTAAGTGTTTTATTAGTGTTTTAAAATTTCACAGTTGTGGGTAATTATGGGGCTAGAGGATGGAGAGTGTCAGATTTTAATAGTTTAATCACAGTATACATTGAGATTTAGAACATTAATATTTTATAATTTTTAAAATAATTTTAAAATATCACATGCACAAAATACAAAGTTAAAAGCCTGATTTACTTATTAATATACTAGAGTTATTAGTGAACTCTAATAAGGCAGTCTATCTGTAATTTTATTATCAATAGAAATAATTTTTATCAGTTTGTGTGTTTATGGTGACATTGATTTTTACCAACATTTTTCAATAAAAACTTAATCCTTCCAAGCCTCAGCCTAAGATAATATACATAGATATAGATATATAAGTATGCGCATTCAGCCCCTTCAAATGAAGCTCCCTCTGGAGACCCAAGTTTGGTGTATGTTCAAAAACAGCAATCTGAATGAATGATGGTGCTTGACTTGTCATTTATTACCATTGACACTTATCATTGTTTATATTCAAATCACATATCTTCAACTATTTTCAAAGACAGTTCTCTGCAGTAAGTTAATTTGGATGAAACTCTCACTAAGGAAAGATTAAGTTTTCAACCTTTTTTTCAATTTTGAATGAAGGTGTGAACCTCTTTGGAAATCTTAGATATAATCTGCAGACCAAAGAGGTCCAAGGACTACAGGTTGAAAACCACTTGTGTAGAGGCCTCATTGCTTGATATTTACAAATCTAATCTCTTTCTATGTTATCCAAGCACAATAATGTTAATTTTTTAAAGGGTTTATGTTTGTTTTCAATGTAACACAATTTAAAAATCTCAACTAATTTTCTTTAAAATTCCTTAAAATAATTCACCTATGGGGAATGGAAAATTCCAGGCCAAAAGCAACATCTTGGGGAGTTATGAATGCACAAAAGTATAGGCTTAGAATGTAATGATCTGTTGTTATAGGAATAGCATGTGATTATAATAAGTATCTTATTCTGGCAGAGATAAGGCAGAAATCTGCTGTCAGATTTGGCAGCAATTGAGAGAGATCTGATAACATTTTAAAATTTTTCTTTTTCCTTTTTTTAGGATTTTATCTACAAGTTCATAACAGTCAGCAAGACTCCCTTAATCAAATCCAACAGTAACAAAGCTCATTATGTATTAACAAACAGGCTGAGATTTCTGACTTATATTTTGTGTTGTATGGAATGAAATTTAAGAGCGGTACATTGTTCATTCCAGATTTAAATGTCAATATATATTACTTTACAGATGTCACATAGCTCTCCACTCGCAAAATACATATGGGATAACAAATATTATTCTGCTAGGGATTAAAAGATTGGCATTCCACTAGAACAGTTTGTTTTATGTATATTTTTAGTGAGATGTTAGCAAGTATTAAGTGAAAGCACTGCAGAGTATTTTTACTTTTTGTCATTACAGCAGAGGAGAACTTCCTGGGGTGGTTCTGTTTAGAAGATGATGGGAATCAGATAAAAAAAGAGAAGCATCCTCTCCTTGTTAGACACATGCCAGTAACAGTGGCCAAACAACAGGAATTTAAGGTGAATAGTGTTGATATCTTAAGAAATACATGAGAGCTCACTGCTTAGGATATAGCATACAGTCACAACTTACTTTGTTTAGTCACGGCACATTTGTTTGTTTTGACTCAGGCTTGCTTCTGCTAATATGGTTCTTAGGTGAAGGTGCAGTTTTGTTTTTAAAAGTGACATCAAAATTGTAGTTGTGCTTACTGGGTCTTGCCTGAACTCTGTACAAAGTCATCTGCTGTTGACTTTAGTGACAAAAATAAATGTATGCTGCTTTTCACTCCTATTTGCATTTCAAAGCCAAAATGACCAAGAGTGAGTGATCAAGTTATTATTTCTTTCTGTGCAACAGCAAAGCTGTTTAATAAAAGTCGGTCAGCTACAACTGTGCAAACATGTTGAATGCAATGGGCTTGTCTGGATTCTACCAGTAGCAACATAATAGAGTCATGTAGGTGTTTTCTGAAAGCTTAATTAATCCTGCAAATCTTCATTATTATGGTGTATGAGGGGGGAAGGAGTCTTGACTCTTCATCACAGGTGAGTTTGCAGGGCTGGAAGTTAGACAGCAGTATGGATGATTGAATAATTTTTTACTCAGAGCCTACTGACTGCCAATCAAATTTAATTTTAACATGTAAATTAAGTCCCAGCTGCTGAGATTGTATGAATACAATAGAATCTCAATGTACCTAAAAAATAAGAAAGTCTGTAGTCCTTATAGTTGCAAAGAAAACTTGAAAGTATAACTTGTTACAATAAGTACAGTGACATAAGCCTGAGTTTGCAGACAGCCTGAAACAATAGTACTGAGATATGTCATTTTCTCTGTGCATCTGAAGGAGGGCGTTAATACTAAAATAGGGGGCACTACAATTGGCACCTCTGACAGGAGGAGAGTGTAGAACACCCAGGGATGGGGCCCGCCTACCACCATCTCTACTGCTCCCAAGAGATGGGGGCCCTGCTGTCACACCTGAAAATAGTGTGGAGAGGCCTGGCCACTACTTGGCAGAGCTATCTTCCTATCTCCTGTGTCTGTGCAGTGGGAAAGGCTCCTTCTACTGTTTTTTTGTGGGCCTCAGTATAGGGGCAGGCCACAGGAGCCTCACGCCACACTGTGCAGAGGACCTGATGGTCTTGTTTATCTTTCAGTATGCCAAACATACAGATTTAGAGTACATGGATGCTGTTACTGCTTTAAAGCAGATTTCCTATGAGAGGCCCTGATCTTATAATCTTGCCCTATTGGGAGCTAAACTTACCACTATTTTAGTTATAGAAAACTTCATCAGGTTTGACCAAGTTATGAATAATGACACAGAAAGGCAGCAAGCAGCCCAAGAGATGTCCAAACCTCACCTGCTTTCTCTGTCTCCAACAATGGATGAGGCGATCACAGCCTGCAATACACTTCCCTGGTGTTTGCAGTTTCACCACGTGTTGGAGAGCAATGAGCTGAATTGGACTAGGAGAGTTCTTGTTATTCTTGTTCCTTCAGTGGCCACCTCTTACTCTTTCAATGGGCCACTATGCAAACTGATGTAGGTTTGATGGAGAAGGCAGATAATAAAACTTGCATTTGAGAAAACAATTAATAAATCCTGATGTGGGCATCTAGAATCAGTGACCTTATTTACAGAAGTGCTGTACACCCAGCAACCACCATCGACTTAAGGGGACTTGCTGGGTGCCCTGTATTTTTTTAAATCAATCAATTTATATACGTATCTAAGGTAGAATTTTTAGGTGCTTAATTTATGCACTCAGTTTTAAAATCTTGTCCTTTGTGAGGAGACAGTGCTATGCAGCAATGAGTTTAAAAATCGCCTTATTTCTTAATTTTTAAATTCTTCAGTTTTATCTAAAGTTTTTCTGTCACATCCTATTGTACCAGCAAATTCCAGAACTTTTTTCTTTATTAGAGAGAAGACAGTTAGTGAGCATTTTAGATGAAACCACCTATCTAAAAGCATACATCAGAAAATACAGTTTTACCTAACTGAATAAGATATGTGTATAAATGCTAGTGTGGATTAATTAAACACATTTTAAATGTGTATATAACCTTTATTGACTAATCCCAGACATGTTATACTGAGGATGTAAATCCATTACGTCTCATGAAGCTCCCAGTTCTGCAAAGCATTTAGTATGGTACTTAAGTACTTTGCTGAATTAGGATACATTTAAACATATGCTAAAATGCTTTGTTTAAATGGGACTTTCATCAGAAAAGATGGCTGCATCTGCTTCATTGTAAATGCCAATCATTTTTCATTCTTTTTTCAAGATTGAATGTGCTGCTTATAATCCTGACCCTTACTTCTGTAGTGAAACTGAGCCAGATACTTGTTCCATGGAGCATGGTTTCCTGTGGGTAAGTTAGGTCTTCAAACAACAAGTGATGGGTGATTTTTTTCAGTCTTTCTTACTTATTTTTCTATAAGAACACAATATATGGCTTTAATTTGCATGCACATTTTGAGTGACTAAATTCTACAAAAATTCCAGTAGTTTTGTCTCTATAAGTTTATTACGTGTGTGTGTGAGAGAGAGAAAGCGTGCATGTGTACAAATTATTTGGTAGAAATTACCAAGTATTCAGTCTAGCCACAAGTGAGTCGTGCAGCTGATCTCAAATGAGTTTCAGTAAAACCTCATATGAGACCACAACACACTATCATCCATTCCATAATTTAGGAACTTGTAAAGGATTCTAAAAGAAATCCCATTAGGGCTATTTTTTATATTCTCTAAATGTAAAACTAAAGAGACATAATACTATGAACCCAATTACAAAGACATTTCTACAAGCCAGAAAGTATAGCTAATGGATATTTTTTTAGAAACTTCTACCAATTTTAATAGTTTTTTCCATACATAATCATGTTGTGATTTTTCTTTTTTTAGAGGCTGATATTTTGGGACCATTCAGTAGTAGAAGTAGAAGCAAAAGATAGAAATAGTCTTTTTCAAAGGTCTGATTTAAGATGATCTGTGTAACTCACTTGTGACTTTGTAATTATGAATATAGTCATCACATACTCTTGGCAATAAAATCTTTATGGCATACCAGAATGTTTTCTTCTTCTCTTATATATATTTAAAGTATTCCTATATACACATTTCTTTCTTTGTCCTGAAGGGGGAGATCTCTCAGCCTTCCTGCTTCTCTAATGCACATTGATATGAAGTGCAGAGCTAGCAATATTTGGGTTTAAGGTCCATTGTCTCATGAACCAAGAGGGATAGAATTGGATAGTTAAGAATATGGGGAGCTCCTTTCTATTGTAGGACTGTGCTTGTTTTTGGCACTCTAATTACAGAATATATTTAGCCTTAAATTTCCAGCTCTCGAGTTTATAGTGAAACTATTGCAGTTTTCTGAAACGTATTAGTTACAGAAGCATTATAACACACAAATATTTTGTGTTATATTTGTATTACATTGCCTTATTTATATAGACATGTCTCCAAGGGTAAACAACCTTTCTTTTGAAAAAGAAAGGTCAGAACTGTGTATACAAGTGTGCTCGGGAATCCAATTTCATGTTCTTTTTCATTAGTTTAAAATACATTATAGTTGCTGTTTAATGATTTTCTCGTAACTTTCTTTGTGTGCTAAATTAAGACATGAAAGCTCTTTAAAGCGCTTCAAATGTGAGAAGCTGTCTTTAATTAGTTTGCCATGTGTTTATCATGGCTAACTGTGATCTTACTATGGAAGGATGTTAATCTCTTCTTTTCTCATCACTCTCTAATTCAGATTGGCAGTTGCACTAATCAAATGGGCCAAATTGCAATTGTCTCATTTCAAAACTCCAGCCCCAAGGTTATTGAGTGCTTCAATGTGGAATCACGCATTCTCTGCATGGTATACATTCCAGAGGAGGAGAAACCGAAAGAATTAAATGTGGCTCTTGAGTCTGAAAATGTGGTTTCAAAAACCTCAAATGTGCCTACTGTCTGCTTGGGCATGGAGGAAGGAAGGTGATAGTCAATTTCAGTTTATTGCATATCATTTACTTATTCATTTCTTTTATTACTCTGCAATAAAGATTGTTCACCCACTGCTACCTGTACTTCAGAAAATTATATTAAAATCACAGCTATGAGTAAATGGACTCTTTAGTTATCTCAAAATACTGTCCTTTACCCCAGCAACAACATACACTTAATAAAAATTAACATCCACACAACATTTTTAAAAACTTACCATACACGGGATAAAAACCAGAGAAACTAACAAATACCTCTGTAGAAGAAGGGTTAATTCCTGTAAATAATGTAATTTCTGTAAGTTGCAAGTATAGATTTTTAAAGTATATTCCATCATTCCATCATTTTAATAATCAGGAGAGTTTGAAAATGATGAAATGCTGTTAGTAATACAACAAGCAAAGAATTATTTACCTGTTCCAATGAAGGATTTGACAAATTTGTCTTGCTAATAAGATAGAACATGTTGATATTGTTGATCTTGTATGAACTGAGTCCTTACACTAGGTCATGTCTGTATAATAGAGGAAAACAGAAATAGGTTTCTGTGAGATTTTTGGTATGGTCAGTAAAGAATTGTTGCTGTATCTATTGAGAGTATAGTAATGAGAAATTGTGTGTTCTTCCTGTCCTTGTAAATAAGGGACTACTCTTTCAAAAAAAAAATAATGCTGTATATGTTCTAAATTTAAAAGAAATATGGCATAATCATACTAGTTACCTGAATGTGTAAACTGATGTTCATGTTAGAGCTACCTATTTACACATCATTTCTGGCATACCCATCATAATCATATATAGGAGCCATGACATAGAATTTTAAAGTAAATAGATTTCTGGTACTGAACTATATTCTTCTTCCTTCTGTCAGGTAGAACTGTATCCAAAGCTCATTGAAGTCAATGAAAAGACTTCACTGGGTTTTGAATCAGGCCCTTGAGTGATACCACTATGGGTCCGATAAGGAAAGTATCTTGGTAGAAGGAAAGTCTCTCCAGATGAGGTGAAATCTCCCTAAATCAAGGAATTTATTGCTTGGGCCTAAAGTAATAATGAAAATGACAAGATGTACTGCTTTTTTAGCACAATAAAATACCTTTATTTTCTTCTAATACTTGTATTGCCTTTTGTGACCTTTATAATAAGAACCAAACAAGAGATACTCACTTTTTTCTCTTGACTTTTTTTTTGTAGTATTTCTATTTATAAGAGTCATCAAGGCTCAAAGAAAGTCCGACTTCAGCACTTCTTCACCCCTGAAAAATCAACTGTCATGAGCCTAACGTACCTGTCACAGTACTTGTTTGCTGGTCTGGTTAATGGGAACATTGCAATCTACACAAAAGCAGAAGGTAGAGTAATAACATCCTGAGGAACTCCTGTGTCAATATATTTTGGCAGAAGCAGATTTCCACTAGCATATTTTTCTTTTCCTGAAAATCTTCTGAATTGAAGTTACTACGTTTTGTTGCAAACATTTATTTTTGGAATGTTTTCTTTACAGACGTAGGGCTTTTGTTCTTTCCAAGGGGTGGTGTGGGCTTGGCTGTTAGTCCTGATTTATTGCTGTTGTTTTAATATTGTTCTTATGCACATTATGGTATCTGTCAGATGCCCCAGTCAGGATCAAGACCCTATTGTACTAGCTAAGGTAAGATACATATAAAGACTGTTCCCAGACCAGAGAGATTACTATACATCAGGGATGGGGAACCTATGGCCCACAGGCCACATCTGACCCCCTGGCTTGTCTTGATTTACATGGCTTGGGCAGAAGCACTGGCTTCCTGCTGCAGTGGGAAGCAGGAGAGAGCTGGCACTAAACCCTCTGCATGGCCTGCTGTGCATGGTGGTGGGGGAAGGAAACAGTTCTGCATGCTGCTGTTCTCCCTTGCTCCTGGCTGCGGGAATGGCAGCTCAGGGATGCTAGGGCAGGGAAGATCTGTTGCCAGGAATCCATTGGCCTTAGTGATTCTGGCAGGTAGATAGAATAATTTTTCTGTTGCCCTAGTAACCACCTCTTGGAGAGGTGGATTTACTACAACAATAGAAGAACACCTTCTGCTGTGGCACTGTAGCATTTCTGCTGTAGTGTTTCCCACATTAAGAAACTGTCCTTGATGTAGCAATAGGTTGGCTTTCATCATGTTCAAGTGCATCCCCTAACGTTCTGAAGATCCCAATTGCTGCACAAGGCTGTAAAGGCGGGTACAAGGAGTGAACTGACAATCTCCTCAGAACGTGGTTTGAGCAGTGATTTGAGACTGTCATTTTCTTCACACAGCTGCCTCCCCATGCACTCCACCAAAAAAAAGGAGTAGCACCCCTTTGTAGGCGATTCTCTGGGATCCATATCTGCAGAGGCAATTAAGGGGAGGACCAAGCCTTTAACTAGATAGCAGTGCTTCACAGCATAAAGATCTTATCTAGCAAGGATTGTGTTCAAGTTACCTGAACCTTTGACGTAGAAAATCTACACGCAATCACTTCTGACTCATCTTTGCAGTACCTTCCTCTACAGCTTGCCTCCCGTCAGTTATTACAGCCTTTCACACCTAATAAAAATGTTACCAGTCATTTGTTCCTATATTAGTATTAGTTTTCCATATAGTGTGGTACTGTGGTCCTCTGTAAGATACTGTGCTCATCCAGACAGTCAGCCCTGAAGGACTGTTGTTATGAAGCACTGACCTATTTAACCAGACAGACAGTTCTGAGCTGTGGAATGAGAGGCACAAAGAATGTGTCCTAATAAGTATTTTATGTAATTTGTCAGCACTGAATCAAAATGTCACCTTTAGTTCTGTACTGTGTGTCATTTTCCAGTCACAAACATCCATTCATTGGGCTAATAATTTGATATGTACAGATTAAAAAGAAGGTAAGATTGAAAAATGAAATATTGGATACTTTCTAGATAAAAGCTTCTTGCTCCACTGTAAGGCATTCTTCCCTGCATGCTTTTATTCAGTGCAGAGTAAATGCTAATCGAAGTGCACATTTTAAATTGTGAGCCATGCACTGGAGAGTTCCATGGGGCAAGGAAGGGAAGGTTTTTCTTCCAGGCTGCATAGCCACTTCACAGCTGCTGTCACTGTTTCCACCCTTGTTCCTTCCCACAAAAAGCAGAAGGTGCAGTGGATGCGTGTAGTCACATACCGACTGGGTCTGCCTCATTTTACTTCCAGCCCACAAATGATTCTCACTTGTTCCCAGTGCTTTCCTATGGTATAGCACAAACTCAGCTTAAGATTGCCAAGTGTATATAGATATCTACTTGTGTTCTTGCCATTCTTTGCATCTGTAGGACTTGTACCTCTCACACTGCAACCAGAGCACACTGTGGCTGCAGGAACGGGATGGGCAGGAATTGTCCCAAATTGTTCTTTTAAAGCAGGGGTGGCCAACCCTTGGGTTATGAACTCTTCCCCCCCCCCCTTAAAGTCCAGCTTGTGAAACCTCCCCCATGGCTCGTGAAGCCACCCCAGTGCTCCTAGAAACGGTCCCTAGCCTCTGGTTCCCTGTGCTCACCGGGGCAGGGGAGCCGTCCTGTGCGGTGATTCAAAATGGCGCCGATGGGAGCCTGATATGGCCAAAAAGTCTTATATTTTCTTTTAAAGGGGCAGTGTCCCCTTTTTTTTTCTCAACAAAAATTGCTCAAAAAAAATTCTGCTGCAGCTCTTTGCATTTTTTCCGCCACTGTTTCGGCTCTCTTCATTTAATCGGTTGGCCACCCCTGTTATAAAGGGAAATGTAAAAGGTGCGCTTAGCAAATTAAGGGAATGCATGTGAGGAGGAGGACGGGAATTTTCACAGCCATACTTCTATAAAGACAACAATGTTTTATGTTACTAGACAACTGTTTTGTCAAAATGTTTTTACTTCCCCATTTTAAGTCCTCTAAAGATCAGTAGGAGATGAACAAAAGTAAAGGAACATGGTCTTTTGGGGTATGTCTACGCAGCAGTTATTTTGGGATACCAGAAGTATCCCTGAAATAGCTACCCTGCATCTTTTGAACACATCCGCTATTTTGAAATATAGTAGACATGCTATTTCGCCATCCTGTAAACCTCATTCTACGAGGAATAAGGGATGGTTCAAAATAGTGCTTTATTTCAACATTTGATGCTGTGTAGACAGCGCCAAATGATGAAATAAGCTATTTTGAAATAGATTCAAAATAAGCTATGCAATTTGCATACTGCAAATTGCAAATTTTATTTTGAGTTTCAGGTGCTGTGTAGACACGGCCTTCGAAATCTAGTCAAATTCAAAAAATCATTATTTTCCTAATGTTCTCTTCATGTATTTTCCTGATGTTCTGTGACTCAGATACACAAACAAAAAGACATTATACTAACAGTCCACTCCTATTTTTTCACATGTGAGAAGTGTTACTGTGGGAAAAATGAATCTGCCCATTACAAAAAGCTGTTATAATCGGCAGTGCTGGTAGTACCACTTGTTATTAAGGTGGCCTGATACTTCCCTTTATAAGATGCTATTTTAAGTTGCTTATAGCTGGGTATTTGATTTAGGGTTTGTTTGTTTGTTGCCAAAACAGTTCATAGTTGAGAATGAGGTTAAGGAAAAATACATCATTTTGCCCAGGCTAAAAAAATCTGTGACTCGTTCTCTGTAAAGCTTTAGCTTCTCCACACGTAGGAGCAGAGGCTTGAAATCTGTCCAGAGGATGGGTGTTTATGGCAGGGATGTGCTTTTTGCTATCCTCATGAAAATCCACAAAGTTATGTCTTTGAAAAAAATCACATATTAAGTAGAGACTTGGCAGAGCTTCTCAGTTCAGTTCCCTTAAGTTTCTATCCATGCCTGGAGCCAAGCAGGACTTTCCATGCAATAGCAATTTCTGACTGCTCTGGGCCATATTAGGTCTGAGTCCTGGCAGTGAAACTGAGAGCAGGAAGCCTGTGTTTCTTGTGCTTTCAATGACCCCCACCTTGCTAGAGTCAGCGTGCTAGAGGAGAAACCTTCCTGATTCAAATGTATAGGGGAGAAGAGCTGGATCTTGGGAGAATGAACAGTAGAAGTAGATTGAGAGAGTGAGCCTGGGGAAACAGGAAGAGGATTGGAGTCTGGAGGAGTGGGGAAGAGGTGACTGGAAATTGGGAAGGTTGGGGCTATCTTCCAGTTCTAGTATTCTATGATTCTATCTGAGTCTGGGACTTAGAACTAGAGAGAGAAATGGGGCTGCATGGACTGGCAGCCAGTAGGTGTAGGGAGATTAGATAAAGAGTCTGGGGAGTAGAGACAGGGATTGGCTAGGCAAAGACAATAAGGCTTTGTCTACTCTACCAAGTTTTGTCACCAAAACCTGCCTTTCCATAACAAAACAGGGGGAGATTACACATTGCAATGTGGCTTTTGTCACAAAAAATGCCCAGTTTCAGTGACAAAAAACTTCCAATCCATAAGACATAATTTTTTTCTGTTTCCACTCCATTTATTGCTGACAAAACATGCAGAGCAAACACCACAAGGTGCTTTTACATCTTTGTTGCCCTCCAGGAAATATTCCACCAATGCCATGCTGCCTTTCTGCTGAGCAGTTTGAACTCCACAGTCCTGCAGCCAGGTAAATCAGCAATCCATCTCTTCCCCTTGCGAGGCCCAAGAATTTTAAATTCCCTTGCCTGCTGGCTGGCTCAGCATGGAGTGGTCCCATGGCATCTTCCCAGGTGATCATGGCTGGCTATTGCTCCAAATGCTCTCCTACTTGGACATCACAGAGCTGTTGGATCTGATCAGTGTATAGGAAGAGGAGTCTGTTCAGTCCCAGCTGCAAGCAACCCTTAGGAATTGGAACAGATTTCTCAAGGCTTGTGTGAAAAGGGCTGTGATCAGGACATGCTGCAATGCAGAATGAAGATAAAGGAGCTGAGGCAGGTGTACCATAAGGCCAGGAGGCCAAACTGTTGCTCCGATGCTGTACCTAAGACCTGCTGTTTCTGTAATGAGCTGGACACTATCCTTGGTGATGACCCCCACCTCCACCGTCAGGAGGCATGAAGGCAGTGCACAGAAGATCTATCCCGGAGGATGAAGTTATAAATGAAGAGGTTGAGCTTGACAAAGATGTGGGGCTCCCAGCCCGGTCACCAGGTCGGGTGGGCAGGCAGGAACTGAGGTGCATAGCCTGAGGTGCATAGCCATTCACAGCAACTGCTTTCCAGGGAGCAGGAGACGAGATGTAGGGTAAGTGGCTATAGCTTGGGAAGTGCAGAGATGGGAGTACAGTATTGAAAAGTGAGAGTGTGGCTGTATTTCTATGAATTGGACATTGCCCTGTGTAGCTAATCAGTATGGCCAAGAAGGAACACACCAAGATCTC